GGAATAATAGATATAATAAAGTATTTCTAAATCCAACGCATGCGCACTAAAAAGTCACGTGACCTGTGACGTCACGCAAGAAAATTCCGCAACGTCAAAGAAACGAAATTGATACTAATTTTTAAATCTAAAAAAATGATTTGAAAGTTTATTTCATAGTTATATAATTTATACACATTATAGATAACAATGAACCCTATATTTAATTAAATATATGGTTGAAAATATAGATGAAAATGAAAATGAGCTAGAACCGGCTTAACGCCTATACTTATATATATATATATATATATATATATATATATATATATATATATATATATATATATATATATATATATATATATATATATATATATATATATATATATATATATATATATATATATATATATATATATATATATATATATATTATATATATATATATATATATATATATATATATATATATATATATATATATATATATATATATATAAGTTGTGGCCGAAACCGAAACCAATTCTATCCTTAATAACTAGTAAATAGCTATTTATAAGTATCAAGTAAAAAATTATATGTAGTCTTTAATTATTTTTATATAATAAATCTTTTGAAAAACTTAAAAATAATCTGCCTCGATATTATGGGGGGCTTAATGATAAGATGAATTTTGTCTTCTTTAAGCCCCAGTCATGTAAATATTTGTTTTTATAAATTACGAGTGTAAATTATTTTCAATCGGCAAATACAATACTAAAAAAAAAAAAAAAAAAAAAAAATTAATTAGAAATTGAAAAGACTAGTTATTTTAATGTTCAATAAATAACGGTAGTTTATTAACTTTTAATCAACTTGAAAGTGACAAGGAAAAATCAGACGTTAAACTTTCTAACTACTTAGGACGTTGAAACGGCGTTGTATTTTAAACGTTACTTTATCAATGGTAAATCATGGTGAAAGCGACGCTAAAAGATCTGATGCTTTAAAGTTTCAACCTTGCTTAGACGTTGGCACGACGTCGATTGTTTGCTAGGTAAATACAAAGAAAAACTTCATTTAAAAAAATTAAATATTAATGCAGTTAATAGAGATAAGCTGTTGTGATACCAGAGTAAGTGTTGTTAAATATTATTGTTTTATGTTACCTTTTTAAAAATAAAAAATGTTGGTACATCACGGTTTCAAAAATTCAAATTAAGATATAAACGAATTTTTTTAATGGCAAAATAAATTGTCTAAGCTTTTAGTGAATGATTTCAAGCAGTGACTTCAAATATTATTTTAGGTAAGTCTAATCTAAAAACATTATTAACTCAAGTAACAACATTAAGTAAAACATTATTAAAAAACGTTATGTGTTTCCAGAATAATTGTTTATAAAGGATTGACAACATCTAGACTCAGGGTTGTTAAGAGAAAATTTTAATTAGGATGACGCTTTTGTTTTTGGCCGACAATAGCTATAAAAAAAGTAGTAATACAGCTCGACACTAAACGCTATCAAGTCACAACCTCGGTTAAAAGTACATGGCTTGGCTGGCAATGTTGACAAATGAAAACATGGAGACAACATAATATCTACATAAATAATGTTGTTTACATTATATTTGTAGATATTATTATTTACATTATGACTATAAAACAATATATATTTATTTATCATTATATAACATATATAAATACATCATGTAACAATTATATACATATTATATTAAATAATATTATAAATCATTTAGTATCTCTATACACATATATAATAATATCAATTAATAAATAAAATATATTTTACGCTATTATAAAAACTCATTCATAAACAAATATATACCACATATTACCACAGACACACATATATTAAAAATTTATTAAACTTTGAATATAATATTAACATATACGCATTCATAAACAACTATATACCACATATTACCACAGACAAACATATATTAAAAATTTATTAAACTTTGAAGATAATATGTACATATACGCAAACTTTAAACAAATATAACTTGAATTGCACAAAACTATATAAAATTAGAAAATTTAAAATGATTTATTTATATATATTTAACGATATTTATCTATAATTATCGATATTATTGATTTTTAATATTTTTTTAAATATTATTAAAACCAATGTTTGCTACTTTATATTTTTTTATTTAATTGAAAAATGTCAGAATTCCGCAATTCCGAAAGACCGCGTACATATAGACGTTTTTTTTAGCCTTTTTATTAATTAAAACTACTTTAAAAACGAAAGGTAAAAAAAAACAATAATGAATTAGAGTATATATATTTAGATATATCAGAAGTTGTAGACAACTCTGACTAAATTATAATAAGCAAATTGTTAAAAATAAATATTCTATTTTTATACATAACGAGTTTGTTGTATTTTTAACACGATACTTTTTAATTTTATATGTTTCAGAGAAAGATCAAATACAGTTAAACGTTATTTGTATGCTAACCTTAAGTATTTCACTTTTGGTTCTCAATAATAGGTTCGTTAAGAGGTTTTTTAATTATATCTTGAGATTATAATCTCACATTAATAACATAACATCAAATTGGTTATATCAAAAAAAATGTTACAAAAATTATATAAATCAATTATAGTTTTACTCTTGAATAAAAATTAATTATTAAAATATTAAAAAAAAATCATTTTACAAAAAAAAAATCATTTTTTTAAATATTAGTATGAAAATTATTTCACATTAGCTTGTCGTTGAAGATTTATTTAGTTTAGGGAGATAAATCTTCTGTAAGTACAGCCAGCCAATACATTAAAATCAAAAAATTACTACTGTCCTATCGATTTATTCTAAATGTTATATTTTCATTTTATTTCTAAGTTCTTTTTCATCAATCTGCAAAAACTGCACTTGAATAGCTTGTTAATCAGTCAAGATTTAGGTAGGGATTAAATCGATAACCTTAACCTTATATTAAATCGAAAGAAGAATATAATCTAAAATCAATAAAACCACTTATCCTTAAACCAATAGTACTACTGCATACATCAACACATAAATTTTTCCAAAAATTTAAAAAGCATAACATGAAAAACGGTGCTATTAATTTTTTAATAACTGGTAATATTTTAAAAACTAATAAAAATAAATTATTTTATGAAAGTTATGTAAAAATATTTTAAAATAATGTAAATAAAAATGACGGTTCTGTACCATTTAAGTAAACAAGTAACATACGGAGTAAAAAGTAGCGACGTAAAATTGTTACAAAGTTACCTTAAAAATAGAAAATCTTGTTTTCTATGATTTTAAAATAAAAAACTTTGTATTTTATGATTCAAAGAGTGCAAAGTTAAAACATTAGGCTGAGAGTTTCCTTAATGCTCCAATCCTAGGCCCTTACTTTTTCTGATTTACGTAAATGTTATATACCTATCTTCAAACATCCTTAATTTTGTTCTTTATGCAGAGGAAACCAATTTTTTTTTATACCCATAAAAATATAAAAACAGTTTTCTTTACAGTAAATTGTGATTTATAAAACCTTAACGACTGGTTTAAATTAAACAAAGTTTCTTTGAATATCAGTAAAACTAAATACATTTTTCTAGTTTAACTGGTTTATAAATTTCCTTAACTAATAATAAATAAAAATATTATAAACAGATTTTTATAGCTTGATTTAAATAAGAATAAATTAAGTTTAGCTAATAAAAAAAGTTGTAAAGAAAAATTTATTGACTAATTTCTTTATTGTAAACATCGTATTACCTTAATTAAAAACAAATTTTCAAAAATCCATATTACAGAACATCTACAAAATAAAAATTTTTTTATTTCATTTATATTACTCTTTTATCCATAGCTACATAAGCTATGGTTATTTTGATTGGGCAGGAACGCGCACTACAGCATTAAGAAAAATATATCAAACAAAAAAAAACCAGGAGTTTTATATAATGTGCATAAGTACACGCACTCGAAACTGTTAGTTTAGAATAATAAAACTCGTTAATTTTATGAATGAACGTGTTTTAAAACTTGTTATTTGTGTTTAAACATCAAAATGACATGTTCCAATAATACTTCAATAACCGATTTCCGAAAATTCTTCGTAAATACTACACTAGGTGCTCTTTCCATAATTTTAGTTTACCAAAGTCAACTCTTAAAATATCAGATTATTCAATTTAATATAAAGGACTTCTTCTGTTGAATATAGTTGTTCATGAAATTTGAGAAGTTTAAATTTAATAAACTGTTTTAAAAACATAGTTTAACAGAATTTACTTTAACTAACAGGCATAAACATACTTTTGCATATTTAAGTAAAAAAAAAACTTGTAATAATTCTCACTGTATCTAGTATATATTTATTAACTTTCAAAATCTTTAGCTAAAAAGAAAGATAATAATGTAAGTATCAATTTCAAAAGTAAAACTGTGTGTAAAGAATAGTTTACATAGTTGCTTATGGAGCATCCATTTGTAGATTTATTTATTATGAATTACATAAAACAAAGATATGCAAAAATACATGAAATCTTTCATAAATAAAAAATATAACTTATATTTCAACATATTAGCACATTAAAACATTCAAATTTGACCATTTTAGCCATAAACCTTAGTTTCTTAATTGCTTGACTGCAAAATTTAGTGTAGACTAAATCAAATGTAAACATATTTCATTTTACTCGTTATTTAGTCAAATTAGTCTTGCGAACAGATCCTGCTGAAAGATTATTGGTCAAAAATTAATGCGGAGCAGTATTACTAAGCCAAATTATGAAACTATATATGCAAGTGCATAGATTAATAAAATAAATAAAATCTTACGAACCCTATATAATATCCTTTATATAAGTGTAAGAATAATGCAATCGTATAAAATTATAAGTTGTCTGTGAGACTGAGTACCATTGTAAATATTAATTCGTAATATTGAAATTTAAAACATTTTTATCTCGATAGTTTGTGCTAATTTTTATATAAATGTAGTTGTTTTCAAAATACATTTTGACTGATTTAATTTTGTAGAAAACATCGTTAGCATTATCCCTTCTGAATTAGAAAAAGGAAAACTTATTGCAGAGATACCAAAGTTTAATAAGGAGTATTTGGTTTCCTTTGATGTCTATCCGAGTACGTTTGTTGCTGGTCAACATAGTGTTATTCGTTTTTCAATTGGTTCTGATTTGGGGCATTACGATGATCGTGTTCCTGTTATTTGGTTTCATGCTAATGGAAAAGGTAGTCTTTGCGTTTCTGCACTAGTTAATGGTAATTTTGACAAATGTTTTGTTACAAAACCATTTGAATTGAATCAGTGGTCTAACGTTGAAGTTAGTCAAATTTTAAGAAAATCAGTTTATGTATACACAATCAAAATAAATGATGATATCGTCTTTTCTGAAATAAATAACCAAGTACAAAGTTTTGATAATGTGAAAGTATATGCAGCAGATCCTTGGTATGATGTTCAAAATGGTTTAATAAAAAATTTTTTTGTCGTCAATGGTTTTACAAGTATGTTTTTAGTAGTCTTTTTTACGTTTTCAAACTGCTTTTTTTTTTAAACCTTTTTTTTATATTTTTAACAAACTTAAATGCAGTACTTTTTTTTCAGATGATGAATTAGAGCGAGTTATTGTTCTACCTAAAGGTAAAAAAAAAATGTTTTTAATTGTTTTTATTAAAGAGATGTTGAGTTATACGATTAGGTTTCTTTCCTAAATAAAATAAAATAAAACACTTGTACTTATATTACCTGAAATCAGGCAGTTCACAGGTTTTAAAGTCTTTTGTCAATTGCTCTACTTTTCTTCAATAATATTTTATGGTTTTTTATCATTACCAATTTAATTTACTTAAAAAGTAATTATTGCTTACAACCTTTCTGGGAGTGATGTAAATAAAGTTAAAAAAAAAAATAAAAAAGTCACGGTAAATAGTTTATGTTTTAAGTATATATTTACGTTTAAAAATTTTTATCTTATGTTTAGTTTATGTTTATTTATAATATTTATTACTTTTTTTTAGTTTATGTTTATTTATAATATTTATTACTTTTTTTGATGCATTTTTTACAATAATATGAGTAGTTTTTTTTATTTAAAAACTAACTTTATTGGTTTCAACATACAACTATTTTTGTAATATTGGGTGTTATAAAAAAAATCATTTGTTATTAAATGGTTTAAAGTTTAATCATTTTAAAAGACTGTTATAATTTCAATTTTTTACTTTACCTAAAAAAAAAAAATATTTTATAGCAGTAATATTTTAAATACTTAATTCTATATAAAACACAACGTTTAAACGTTTTACTCAAATGTGCTTCTTTTAAGACCTAACATTATATACAGTTTTACAAAACTTATGTTAGTCCTAATAATTTTTTTGTTGAAAATTTTTTTCATTTTTCTAAAATTTTTTTTAAAAACACATTTTGTTGTTGGAGCTGACTTTCTAACAAAAAAAAGACTCACAAAAAAAAATTCTATTTAGTTTATTTAGAAATAACTGGCCTAAACAAGAACTTTTAGCCTTTATTCTCAAAGTTAGAGTTAAATAAACCTTTTATTTGCAATATACTAGAAAATGGTTAATTTGGCTTATTCATATTTGATTTGTATTTGATATAAAGATTTCCTTATTGTTTGTATTTGTATTTAATTAAAATGTATTTGATGTTCAATAAACTAAATTAACTAGTGTTTTTATTAAAATTACGTCGTTGTTATTTGTTCTCATTTGACACTAAAAATAAATTAATGTTCAATTTTTGAAAAGAAATATTTAAAAAAAATGGTTTTCATGCTGGTAAGTCTGGTAGTCAGTTCAAACTGGTAGTCAGTTCACCATTTTATCAATTACTACGTAAAAAAAAACTTTTGTTTTTCCATAAGCCTAATTACAAATATTTTTATTTGTATTTGAACATTATTTATTACATTAATTTTAATTTTAATTTGTATTTAAGCCCAAGTCTACTGGTCAATTAGTCACATGATATATAGTCCCCCAGTTCTTAAAAAAAAAACCATCTTTTCACAAAAATGCCTCACAAATTAAACTTAAAGCAACCAATTTAAACTGTTTCAATATTTTTTTTTATATTGAAAAATTAGTAGACAAAACCTGTGTTAATATCCTTAAAAAAACCATGCAGATACATACTATTCTATAACCACTAAATTTACCTACCACCATGCACCCTACCACCATGCACCCTAACAGATTTCACCAATTTTGAAAGCCTTCCAGATACCACCTGGAAGTAAAAGAAACATGACTTTGAGTTTCACATGGTGATCATCATATATTACAATTAATCTTAACGACAAAAAAAATTAATTTCAAAAATACTCAAAGCAATATTATCTAATCTTAGTTGGCCTAACACGGGTTTGCCGCTAAACATGCGAAAACCAAAGTAAACTACTCATTAGAAATATTTTAGCAATATTTATTTTTATTTCACACGTTATAAAAATACTTTTAACAAAGAAAGTTGAATCTTTTATATTTTTTAAATTTGAAGATGAAAGCATTTATAGAAAAAAATCTATAATTTTAAAGTTTGTGATTTTTATACTATTTATGCGCAAATCCTTTTTATATATATATAGCTCGTAACGTCACGCCTCTTTTTTTTATTGAGTGAAACAGCCGTTAAGCGCAAAAGTAAGATTAAACCATAAAATGATCGGTGTTTTTGATTTTGTTGCGGTAAAATTTAGTTTATAAATATAGATTGTTTCTAAATAACCATCAGACGCCAGGGCGCTGTTATAAAAGAATGCAACTTTGTCAAAAACGTCTTTGTTTAAATGAAATATTGCTAATTTGTTTGTATAACATCGTTGGTATTTGATAAAATTAGGATGGTGATTAGAACAAACGTTAATGTACAGTGGATGGTCAGCTGGTTTTCTGCACGGTCGACAGACAATCTGATAAACTTAACGTATTATCTAAAAACATTTCAATCTTAAGTTTTGATTTTACTGTTAATTCTAGATAGAACCTGTCTTTAAAAATGACGTTTTTTTTCTAGTTTAGTCCACTAACCTTAAGAAAACAGAACAAACCATTATCTCCATGCAATCTATTAGATTGCAATGCATATATGTAGTTTATAGTATGCAGGATATAAAGACCGACAAGCTCGCATAGTTAAGCCCTATCAAAACCTTCAATAATACATATCATTTAACCCACAGGTTGTTGTGATCAGTAAAAAGCAAAGATTTGCTAGAGTGATTTATAATGCCAAATGTTTTGTCTGATACTTTTGCGTTTTGCAATCACAAAGTTTATATACAATATAAAATGGAAACAAAGTTACACATTTTTCTATTTTATGCTAATCAAATTTAAGTAGTTAAACTAGATTAGAAGGAACTGACAGATATATTATTAAGGTTACGAAAAAAAGTCAAAAAAATGCTCTATTATTTTGTACGCTTAGAGCATTCGTTTTAACTGCTTCAACGTTGCTACGCCAATGATATAAATATAAACCTTTATTTTCTGACCACATTAGATCATTTTCACAATATTATTTTTTTCAAAAATTGCTGACATTTTTGATGCTGTGGGGGTATATAGTATAACGCCAATTTGATCAAAAAAATCATCTTAGTCTTCATTATTTTGCATTTAAATTCATAATTTTTAAGTCAAATTTTAAACTCATAGTCTAAGTAAATTAGTACATTACTTATTTTTTTATTATGTTAAAAATTCTTAATAAATTTACTGTATAATAAAAATGCCTATGATATTTCCAATTAAAATAAAATTTAGGACCTTCCTACTTGTTTTTGAAATTTTAAACATATTGTATAATGTGATTAACTTCATTGCTAATTTAATCAAACCTGTCTCCAAGTTAGACTCACACCTTAAAATTTAATAGAAGCGAGGGTGCTTTTTATTACAAAATATATTTATTCTTGTTCAAACGGAGTAATTCTTTTACAAACTATATATATATATATATATATATATATATATATATATATATATATATATATATATATATATATATATATATATATATATATATATATATATATATATATATATATATATATATATATATATATATATATATATATATATATATATATATATATATATATATATATACATATATATATATACATATATATATATATATATATATATATATATATATATATATATATATATATATATATATATATATATATATATCTACATTTATATATATATATAAATATATATATATATATATATATATATATATAAATATATATATATATATATATATATATATATATATATATATATATATATATATATATATAATTTTTATAATAAATATATAATCCTAACCCTAACTCTGATTTTCTAAACAAGGGCTGCAACACATTATGGTCTACACATAAGTTTACAGTTACTTAATATCAAATAATTTACAGATAGGCTATATTATACAGGTATATCATAATATATATATATATATATATATATATATATATATATATATATATATATATATATATATATATATATATATATATATAATATATATATATATATATGTCTATATATACATATATAAATATATATATATAGAGATAAATATATATATATATATATATATATATATATATATAATATATATATATATATATATAAATATATATTTATATATATATATATATATATATATATATATTTATATATATATATATATATATATATATATATATATATATATATATATATATATATATATATATATATATATATATATATATATATATATAATTATTATGATATATAAAACCCTAACCCTAACTCTGATTTTCTAAACAAGGGTTGCAACATTATGGTCCACACATAAGTTCAAAATTTCCTAATATCAAATAATTTACAGATAGGCTATATTATACAGGTATATCATAATATACAGATATATTAAGGCAATTGCAACACGACAATTAATTTGACCCTGTGTCTTCTCAAGTAACAATATACATATTTTATGGTTAGCTCTAAAACTAGCATAGTTTTTACTGTGAATAAAAAAAACATTGTACCATCAGAAACACATTACACCTCTCAGAGGAAATAATTCTGAAGAAAAATAAAATAGTTATACCAACTGCTTTGAGACCTTTTATGTTAAGACAGCTAACTTAAGGAGTCTTACCTTACCTTTTAACCAAAAATAAGAAAGTTTAAGCTAGAAACGCTGTTTACTAACAAGGACTTACAAGTGACATTGATAAACTGATACTTTATTGCTAAAAACGCCTGAAATACGGCAATAACCATTAAAAGGAAAAAAAACATTTAGCACAACATTCCTGTTTTACTGTGAATTAAAGTAGGATTTAATATATATGAGTTAGATAAAAAGATCTATATAATCGTTATAAATTATCTTTTAAATTTATTGAGGACAGTGTAATTCATGACAAAACGGTATTTTCTATAATCAACTAAATGAAAACAATTTTTATTCGTTAAAAAGTTCCTTTAAATCTCATTGCTAATAACAACCCCGACAATAGTGCAGAGTTTTTTAATTTTTTAAAAGAATATAGGTCCAATTTTACTCTATTGAGCCTAAAAAACCCACAATTAAATGGCCATAGTAAAACAGGTGTGAAAGTTATAAAAAAATACTAAACGATGTGATAACCCAAAGCTTGGTCTTCTGGAATACCTAACAATCCTCTCACAGGTTTGGAATAATCTCCGCTCAATCTTCTCATGAATAAAAGAACGCAATCCTTTCTTCCTGTCCACCATGACTTACTAATAATAACAGTTTCTTTAAATGCTTACAGCCAGATAATCAAGTCGGGAGTTCGTCAAACACAATAATATGATCGGAACGCATCTAAACTCTTTAAACCTTTTATGAAACGATACTGCCCGGATGAGGAAATAAGAAACATGGAAGAAAGTGACAGTTTTTTTTTTCTTTTTTTTCAGTTTATATTATTTACCTGTCGTATTTTACATGTAATATAAACATATAAACTTGATATCTGGAAGAAAATGAAATTAATCATGTCGCCAGAAACATATAAAAATTAAAATTTAAATTTAATGCAAAAATATACAGTTAGTTTATAACAAAATATGAACCCAAAAACTTTGAAATAAGAAATAGTTAAAATAATATCTCAAAAACGTTTCAATATATTATCCGTTAAAAAAATAATATTCCTTCATTTTTTTTAAAAAACAGAAAAAGAGATAGATATACAATTTTATTCCAGATATAAGGTAATTGATAATCCATACAAAGGTGATTAAACTATGTTTGACAAAAGAGTTCTTTTAAATAGATAGTATTTCGATAACTATATTTATTTTTACTTCAAAGGTAAAAAGATCTTTAAAAACATGAATCATAGGGTATTCGTACAACAAAACATATATTATAAATTATTATACAAGTTAAATTTATAAACGTTTAATACATTCATATCTTTAAATGAAAGTTTTGTATTTGAAAAAGCGTGATCGGCGTAATTCATTCATGCCTTGAGTTATTATGATTACTTTCAATAAATACATCCGTCTGCGCGTCAAAAATTTCAATCCTCCAAATATTACAATATTAGCCCTTCATCGGAAAAAAAAATCTATTGTAAAAAATGTTTACAAAACAGTTTTAGTAAAGTTATGCAAAACAGTTTTAGTAGAGTTTTGTTAAAAAACTTTAATATTTTAATTATTGTTAATCTTAAATATAATACGTTATATTTCAACATTAATATTTATATTATGTTATTAGTTTTATTGTAACAAGCGTATTTAAAATTCTTGTTATGTACATAGCTACTCTTTATTTTTTATATTAACTTACGATTCTTTAATGTAAATTTTATGATGGGGCTTGATGATAAGATAATTTATGTCTTTTGCTTGCTCCAGTTCTCTTATTAACACCATTTATTTCATTGTAAATTTTAATATATGACAGAACTATTTAGAAAAGTCATGTATTTCATATCTAGAAGCTTTTCTTCGGAACAAAATAGTTTTAAAAAATTTTGTTTTTTTCTATGAAATAGAAATTTTTTTTTAGTTTATTTCTTGAATGAATCTTTCTTTCAAGAAATAAACTAAAAAATATTTTTTTTATTTTTTGACGACATGTTTTTATATTTTTAAATTCTTCTAAAAAGGAATATTAAGTTTATTACATAAGGTAATATAAATTCTTTATCTGATCCACAAGTTATGTGTTTATGAAAACAGTACTTTTAAAAATGTTTTTGTATTTATATATAACAACATAAAAAATTTCTTTATTCCAATTTTGTTTATAAATTATTACGAATTTTACGTTCTCGCTAGTTATTACTAATTTTTACTACGACATTGTTTTGTTTTTTTGATTTTATACTTCATGTCTATCGAATGTACTTCTCAATGATATGACCTAAAGGTCTTCTGCGAGTCTCTGCGTTCTTTTATATATATATATATATATATATATATATATATATATATATATATATATATATATATATATATATATATATATATATATATATATATATATATATATATATATATATATATATATATATATATATATATATATATATATATATATATATATATATATATATATATATATATATATATATATATATATATATATATATATATATTTTTGTATAACGATTTTTGTTTTAACTATCTTATTGTATTAACTATGTTGAATATTCAACAAGTTTGTTATTATTTTTTGTTTAGAAAATATTTTCCATAATAAACAGTTACACTTGAGTGACCCTTTTTTTTTTGGATCACTCTATGTTTTGAAGAAGGAGTTCACTGTCTCTTTTAATGTGTTTTATAAAGTTTACATTGATGCGTGGACAGAAGTTTTTTCTTTAAGAACGAATGAAATTTCGGTTGGTGAAAACATAATTCTAATTGTTCGGTTATTGTATTCAGGAGATCTTTCAATTGCAACAAATTTAAATAGTGAAAAATTCGAGAGTTTTTCAACACCTACCCTTCCTTTAAATCAATGGTCTAATGTTAAAATATGTCAAACTATGCGTGAAAATAAGTATTGGTTTTCTGTTTTTCTGAATGGAGTCAATGTTAAAGATATTGAAAATACTTTTGCTATAGAATTTAAAAACATAATGGTATATGCTTCTTATTCATTATATTGGGACAAAAATGTTCTAATCTCAAATGTTCTTACTGTTAATGGAAATGCTGGTATATTATTTAATTATTTTTAGGCATTTTGATTAGTTTTTTTAATATTACTATAATAAAGTATATGTTTGAAGCTGAAGAATAACTTTAAACATTGAAAACCAATTTATCTTACTAAAATAAATTAAATTTTATTTAAATGTAACACAAAATAAAATACATTTTGCCTAATTTTCTTTTCTAGATATTTTTGTTAGCAGTATGCCTATTGAATTAGCAAAAGGAAAACTAATTGCAGAGATACCAAAGCTTGATAAAAAGTTTTTGGTTTCATTTGATATCTATCCAAGAGAATTTGTTGTTGGCTGGCATAGCGTTATTCATTTTACTATTGGTTCTAATTTGGATCATTATGGTGATCGTGTTCCGGGTATTTGGTTTAATGCTGATGGAAAAGGTGGTCTTCACGTTTCAGCACCGATTAATGGGAACTTGAACAGATTTTTTAACACAAACCCAATTGAACTAAATCAGTGGTCTAACATTGAAGTAAGTCAAGTGTTTAGAAACTCAGAATATGTATACACAATCAGAATAAATAAAAAAAGTGTTTTTTCTGAAATAAATAACCAAGTTCAAAGTTTTGATAATGTAAAAGTATATGCAGCAGATCCTTGGCATGATGTTCAAAATTGTTTAATAAAAGATTTTTTTGTTGTCAATGGTATTACAGGTATGTTTTTAGTTGTTAAATTTAAGTTTTTTAAATTGCTTTCTTTTAATTTTTTTTTTTTTATATTTTCAACAAAATTAAATACAGTTCATTTTTCTCAGATGTTGTGTTGCAGTCAGATATTGTTCCATCTAGAGGTGTTTCAAAATATTTTTATTTCTTTATATGAAAGGTATGTTGTGTCTTGTAATAAGGTTTCTTTTCCTAAAATATATGCAATAGAATTAACTTCAATATTCAAATCCGAAATCACAAATTTTACAGTTTTATTTAGTATTTTTTCAATTGCTTTCATGCTCTGCAGCAATAGTTGTTATTTTTTTGCAACTTTTAACTTAAGTAGCGGTTGTTTGTAGTTTTGCTGGGAGTGATGTTGCTTAATTAAAAAATCGGCCAAATAGTTTATGTTTATTGATCATTGTTTTTAATACTTTATTTATATTTCCTTGCATTAAAACATAAACCTTCTTTACTCAACAAATTAATAATTATGTCATTTATGGATCTAAATAAATTTCATTAAAAATGAAAATTTTTTATAAAAAATTTTAAAGATAAAATAGTTTTAGAGACTGTTTTAAGTTAGCTATTTTCTATAATATAAAAAAAAAAAATTCTGGAATAATAACTTTTTGAAAAACAACTTCTTTACTAGTTACCTCATTTTGGAATTTTTTATTAAGTTTTTCATTTTTAAGGATTCAACATAACATACTTTAAAAAAAATATTTTATTTGTTAAAAACCTTTGAGTTGTAAAATAATTTACTTAGAACACGTTTCGTTGTGGGAGCTGAAAATTTTATTTGTATTTATATTTACATATTTAAAATTTTTTTGAAGTTGGAAAATACTTATGGCATAACTTTTTATTTGATTATATATTTGGAAATCTAGAGTTAATGTATTTGCATTTGAATTAATAAAGTATAATTAAGTGTTTCAAGTGTAATATTTGTGTGTGTCACAAGATTTAGTAAAATATTAATGAACGAGTTTGGTAGTTTATTTTAATGAAAATCAAACACAAAGAGACAATTATAAACTTTTACAAGATTGTGAAATTATAGAATTTTAAATTCCTGTCTTCGTTATTAGATCGTAAAAGTAAACTTTTTATAATTCTTAGGAAGTGCGTTGTTAATTGTTTATAGAATGTAATAGAAAATTACCTTTTTGACACTAAACAGTGCAACAATGACTTAGATGTGAAGAAAAAAAGGAATAGTATTTTATATTTGAATATGTTGGGTAACATAGTGTCGTATTAATGACATCATACTTTTGGTATGTCAGACTTTTATATTTAATTGAATTAGTTGAGTGTTCCATGACAGGTTTTTATCAAGAAGTAGCCCTAGGTATTTTATATCTTTAGACGGATAAAGCCTTTTATCAATAATTCTAATTTTTACATTATTACTTTGAACTTTTTTTCTTTTAGAGAGTAAAAAAGAATAAATTCAGATTCATTGATACTAAGGGAAAGAAGGTTAATATTACAATCGCACCACGATTCATTTCAGTAAAGCTAATAACTGCATAGAAAATAGAGTGTTTTAAACTAAATCTAATCTTGCGGGCGTTGAGCCGCTTAGAATTATCAGGAAAGTAGTAGATACGAGAATACATTAATTTTTCGATAATTTTGCTGATGTTTGATAATAATGATATTGTTCATAGTTATTTTAGTCATGCTTATTCTTTTTATGGACTGGTTTAATAAATGCAGCTTTTGAAACATAAGGGAATATACTGGTAGCAAATAAGAGAATAAATAGTTTATAAAATACTAAAGAAATGTCATTAGCAAGAGTTATTAAAACGAAGATTGAAATACTGTTTTGACCAGAAGTCTTGCCATCACTAAGAGAACCAATAACTGATATTATTTCATTTTTCTCAGTAGGTTTAATAAAAAGTAAGTCAGGTTTTGACGTTTTTATAATATTTTCAATGAAGCATGTAAAAGAAAAAAACATTTAAAGTAAATTACAATACTTTAACAAATTAGATTACAAAATACAATTAAAAAAAAAGATCTAAATTAAAATTAAAACGCTAATTTAAAAAAGCATGTATATCGAAAACAACAAAAGAAAGAAACTAAAGTTTTACGTAATGAAACTGAGATTTTAATGCGTCAACTCGCAAATAATGAAAAAAAAAAATTTTTTTACTTGGTGAGAAAACCTGCAGAAAATGACTTTTTCACATTTATAAACGTCGCCTCTATATAGGTAAAACACATTTATTGTTTCAACATTTTGTTAATTGGTATACTTTATTTGTAGGGAAAGCTTGAAAAGAGCGAGTTGATGATGTGAAAAAATATGAAACAAGCTAAAGTAAAATTATTTGGTGATAAAATCTACATTTATACGTAAATTTGTATGATTGTAATAGTATTGTTTAATGAAAAATAAATTTTGTTTTACATTCTTTTAGTTTGTTAGATTATTATAGTAATAATTTATTATTTATTACCACGTTTACAGTTGATATACCAAGTTATTTTTACTTGTACTTTATTAGTACTGCAACTTAAAAGTATCGTTTGATTTATAAACAAAAGCAGAAACCTTATTTAAAACACTGTACAGTAGCCAGTTTACAAATTTGGCTTTTATTTTTATTTCACCTTATTTTAATTAGTTCAAAAAAAAGCTCTTAAGTACCAAATATTATAATTGTTGTAAAAACTTTTATAAATTCCAAATAAAGGAATCAGATGTCAGGATTTATCTGAAAACCCTTGGCATTTTTGATAAATCTCTAATGTTTTCTGAAATTTTACAAATTATCCTAATACTTATAATATGGAAAAAAACAACCGATTTTCTATGTCTTGATAATGTAATAAATTTTATTGTTCTACCACTTAATTGTTTTTTTTTGAAGAGAAAGAGAGATGGCAAGAAAAAATTTTAAAAATTTAACCTATACGATAAGTCTACAACATATATCAATGTAGTATATTTCTTCATTGTATCTGTTCATAAAATATAAATGTGTTTATCATTTTTATAAATCTATGTACAAATATTTTAAATTTTGAAAAGATTACTAAAGTTTAAAAAGAGTTGAACACATTTGTTTTTGTACTATAGCATTGCAGATAATCCATATTTATCTAATTTACTAACTTTTTTTTTACACCTAGCAGACATTGTTTTAAAGTTTTTGCAGTGGAAATGCCTAAATAGACATTTTTAGCGTTTCATTCGAATCTAGCTCATTGGTAACTTAGAGGGAACATAAGTAGCAGCCGCTATAAATGATTAGCCGAAAACATTCCGAGATTTATTAGTGTCTAGTCATCAACGAACTGATTTTAGCAACTGCCACTTAAGCTCCACTTCGAAATTGAAAACCAAAACTGCAATAGTTCGTTCAAAATGCTAATATAGGTCTATAAAAATTCCGCTGTAGAATGTTTGCTAGGTATAGAACTTTTAGTAGGTATTTTAGCAAGGTATAAAATAATAATATAATATATATTTCGCCATGAAAAAAAAAAAAAAAATTACAAAATTAGACTTTAAAAACTGTATATACACGGCTGGGGCAAGAAGAAGACAAATTCAGTCTTATCGCCAAGCCCCTTTAAACAAGAAAACAAGTAACAAACAAAACAAAAAAACAAAAAACCAAAAAAATCCGTTATCACAATATAATATATGAGTAAGGTACATATATAAATACAAATATCTAAATATCTTTCATTAAAATTTAATATTTTTTTTTAGGGTTTTTTTTATTAGGATTTCAAATTCTAATAGTAAATAAAAATGAGATAAAACATGATAATTTAAGAAGGTAAAGATTCAAATTAAAATCAAAAATTAATATGTTAAAAATAAATTAAATATCAAGTAAAAAACAAGTGATTACTCCTATTTAAAAGTTTCAAAAGAAGTCAAGTTCATTGTCAATTATCAAGAGTTTACTTTTTATTTTTATTTTTAATTGATCAAGGAAAGAAATTTTTTTAAACTCATTATCCGATAGGGTGTTCCATAATTTAGGTCCTCTGATTGCTATCGAGAACCTTGTCGCAGAAAAATATTTTTTTGGTTGAATATAATTGTTGTTTGAAAATCTTGTTGGGTATAAATGATTTATTTTTTCGAAAAATGAATTAAATAAAATGGGAGTCATTTTATTATCGACTTTGAACATAAATATAAAAATATGATATAGGTTAAGTTGAAATACGTTAAGTATTTTGAATTTATTAAAAAGTAATTTAGTGTGCGAAAAGCGATTCGCATTTCCAATAATTCTTAGAGCGTGTTTTTGTTTAATTAAAAGCCCTTTATTTTTAGATACATTAGTGCTGCACCAAGCAACGTTAGCGTAACTTAGATAGCAATGAATAAAAGAAAAGTAAATAAGTTTCAAACAAGTTTGGTTTAACAACTGTTTTGCTTTGTATAAAAGGCCTATATTTTTCGAAATTTTATTTTGGATTATTCGTATGTGCTCCTTCTATGTTACGTTTTCATCTAAAACAACGCCTAGAAACAACAAATAACTCTCTCTTTTGACATAAGAGTTATTAATAAAAAGCTTAGGAAGTTGTTAGGGTATGTTGTCTTTATCATGAAGACGATGGAAGAAAGTATATTTTGTTTTTTTAATATTTATGGACAATTTATTTGATATAAACCATTCGCTTAGTTTCACAAGCTCCTCGTTCACTGTTGTAAATAAAAAATTTGAATAAAATACGTTAGTATCGTCAGCAAATAAAATTGAATTTAAGATATTGGAAAATTTACTCAAATCATTTATATAAATGAGAAATAAAAGCGGTCCTAGAATTGATCCTTGAGGGACTCCGCAGGTAATTGTCATCAAGTCTGTTTTCTCGCCATCATATAAAATGCATTGTTTCCTATTCTTTAAATAACTGTTAAACCAGCCTAAGTTAGAATTTATGATACGATAATTTTTAAGTTTATAAAGAAGAATATTATGATCTACGGTATCAAACGCTTTGCTCAGATCAATAAAGACACCTAAAGTAAATTTTTTTTCATCAAACGCTTTAAAAATTTCATGCACAAGATTAATTATTGCGTGATCGGTCGAATGACCGGATTTAAACCCGAATTGTTTATTGTAAAGAATATTATTTACATTTAAGAAAGAATAAAGTCTATTATACATTATACGCTCCAAAATATTTGAAAAACAATTAAGAACAGAGATCGGTCTGTAGTTGGAAACATCAGAAGGATCACCTGTTTTAAAAATTGGTGTAACTTTTGCATCCTTTAGTTTTTCAGGAAAAATTCCATATTTTAAAGATAAATTAAAAATATGTAAAAGTGGTATTGTTATATATTTTAGTGACTTAATAGTGATCATACTGCTGATATCATATAAACCGGAACTTTTGTTAATTTTTAACAAAGAAACTGAATTTAATAATTCTTCATCTTTAAGTTCATGATTTGGCATAACAGCATTAGTTGATGTCAAGTATGATTTAAAACTTATTTTAGATGGTTCAATTTTTTCAGCTAAACTTTTACCAACATTAACAAAAAAGTTATTTAGCGTTTCAGCCACCATTGGTTTATTAAAAACTAATTTATTATTTAATTTGAGATTTTTTGGCAAAGCATTTCTGTCTAAATCTTTTTTGCCAATAACTTCCCTAATAATGCGCCATGTGTTTTGCGAACCATTACTTTTTATTTTTTGATCTGAATAGTAATTAGCTTTTGAACGTCTCAAAGTTGACTCAAATAAACGTTTATAATTTTTATAGTTAGTTTCATTTTGTAGTGTTTTTTTTTTTAAGATATTTACAATATAATCTCTGTTTTATTTTTGAAGATTTAATAATTCTCTTTGTTATCCAAGGTCTCATAAGGTTTTTTTCTTTTAATAATTTTGTAACTATGGGAAATGCTTTGTTATAAATTATAATTAATTTATCGTAAATAACAGTACAATACTTACCGTTGTTTCTGTGTATTTTTCTTTCTTCGAATAATTTTTTTCGTATTATTGCTGTTTCTACCGAATAATCTTTGTTTATAAATATTCCCGAACCTTTAAGTTTGTTTGCATTTTTCAGAACTTTTACTGTCTCTTTATAATCAAGTAACTCGATCACGATAGTTCTTGGCTTTTCTGTATTACGCTTTCCTGTCCGATATGCTCTTTCTATTTTTACTCCATTTACATTTAAATTATTTTCAAGTATATTCATTATTTTAATTTCCGAATCATCCCAACTTTCCGACTCGTTTTCAGCAATTCCTTCAAATCTTAAGTTATTTCTTCTTTGACGATCTTCCAGTTGTCGAATTTTTCCTTGTCTTTGCTTGCTAAACTAGATTTTGAACAAATTTTTTTCTCTAAGTCACTAACCTTTTTATCGTGATTATCTTGATTATCAATGTCCTTTAAAACTTTTTTATGATTCAGTAACTCATTGTTTGACTTTGCTTGGTCGACTTTTCTCTTTTCGTTTTCTTTTGTTAAGGATTCGCAAGTGGCTTTAATCAAAGTAATGTCTTTTTGTAATCCGTCGATTCGTTCAGTAGTAACTTTTAAGTTTCCACTTATCAATTTCAAAATGTCCTTTTGTTGTTTCTAAAACATCTCCTGAAAAATTTCCAACAAGCTGTATTGAGATTTCGGAATCTTTAATTTTATACATTTTGATATTCAAAATAATTACGATGATAAAAGAAATAACAAGTTAACTTAAAAAAAATAAATAAAAATTTTTTTTTTTTTTTTTTTTACGCAGGAAAAACACGTCCGTTTACTTCCGTGTCTTGAATTGATATGAGATTTAGTATAGATTAGGTATAGAAGTACTATAAATATCGACACCTTATTTGATTCAAAATAAATAAAAAATATAGCATTAAGAGAGGTGTCATCTTATTGATATTTAAAATTAGTCATATTTTTGATATTTATAATTGGAAATATTTATTAAAACTAATAGAAACAAACACATTTTATATTTTAAATATGCAAACTTTTTCATGAAGGTAATTTTAAAAAATCTTGAAATGATATCAATTAAATCCAAATATAAAAAAATATTTTAAATATTGCATTTATTTTAAATAGTTTCTGAATTCCGGATATGATCAAAATGCAAAAGTATTTTTAGAAATAAAATAAAACTATCATTATCACCCATCAAACATGTCAGCGTTGAATAAACGTTAAAAACCAGTCGCAACGTTGAAAAAGCGTTACAGTCACAAAAACAACGTGCTTTCAACGTTGAATTAATGTCTGTTTTTGTATACTAAGTCGCGGTAAATTGAAACGTTGAATAAGCGTTATAAATAGAATGTAGTTTAGCTTCTTTAAATAAAACGTTGATTCAACGCCGACTCAACTTACGCAAAAAGCTACTTTAACAACGTTTCAAAATTAATGCTCTATCAACGT